AGGCCAGGCCAAAACCAGCATTTGCCACGGTTGTCTAGAGGTTACAGGCGGGCCCTTTCCAGACAAAAGGATCTTGTTTTTCCTTTCTGCAGCACCAGAGAGCTGAAGTAGGAGGTTCACCACCAGTTTCTTCATGAAATGGCTTGTCCCAGCAACACACGGTATCCACAACCTCCCTTGGGACGCGTGATTGCGTGCAAAACCTTAACGCAAGGAGAGTTTCACTCAGCGTGGTGCAAACCCTTCATGATGGGTGGTATCGGGATAAGGAATATAACCGAGTTTGAGGGTAACATGAGAGACTCTACAAAACACCTGCAAGGTGCCAACAACTACGACACTGTTCAGAGAATATATAATAAAAGCTAAAACACACTATACACCTCACCACCTGCATAAGAAACGTGCACATTTATCAAGTAAATTTACGCTATCAAACTGAACTTCGATGCAGCACCTGGTTTTCAGGTCTGTCTGTATTTCCCAGTTGAGGAACACAAGGAGAACACCTCAGAATATTCTTATCGATGAATTGGAGTAATCCAATTTGGCTTCCTGAATTGCACGATCAATTATGAGAATATAATCTCTCTTAAGAGAGAATTTGATTTGTTGTTTTGGTCGTTGTTGTTATTAAATGCATATCTCCTCAGGCATATAGTCCTTGAAATTCATTTCTGTCTTCTTTAACAAAAAAAAAAAAAAGAAAGAAAGAGCCAGACTAGCTGGCCGATGAGCAGAAGATAAAATATTTGTTGCATTATTTTATTCTTCTTTTGGCCTTTCCTGGAAATGACCACATTTTCTTTCAACGCAGTTTCTCAAGACTGACTGTTTTTGTCCTTAAGAACCGCTTTTTGAGTGAACTAAAGCCCCACAAAGAGACAAAAGTAATGCCAAACCGCCCAAAATGAGACGATTTTCAACCTTTTAGGCCCCCCCAAAATGTTACTGCATTGTGGATGCAAGTGTCCCCCCAGAAAACAGGCTACATCCAGATGGCCTTGGGGAGAACCCAAGATCTGCTTTTCTCCTCACGTGAGATGGGAGCTTTATGGCCTGTAACTACTTTTCATTAAATAACAATATCATTTAAGTGCTCTTTTCTTAAGACAGGTCCAAGTAGGTCTTTTCAGGCTGCTCTCCAGTAATAATTTATTCCTAATAGATGTGCCAGTTATGCAGAATAAAAACCAGGCAGCCCAAAAGCCTGATTTGTTTTAGAAACACACAGATTATAAAGCAAGTAAAGGAGCAATTTAATTTAGGTAGTAGTAACATTTTAACCTTTGGGTGGGGGTTATTTTCTTTCTCGATTTTCTGTCAGAATCCATTGGCTTTTGCAAATGATGTGCAACAGGGAACAAGTCACCCAAGAGTGGGCGTTTTTCTGCTGTCTAAATAAAAAGATTTTAGATGTTTAGATTTTAAAATTTTTTTTTCATCTATTTTTAGCAAAAGAAAATTAGAAATTTGCCTCTGGAAATCTGCTGCTTCACTCCAAAGGTTTTAGGAAAACTGTCCATGAGGATTACGATCTCACCCATGCCCTGTACGATTAAGCTCAGTGAGGCCCAAAAGGAATTTATTTTTAAATACAGTGCTTTAAAATTCTGCTTCCCAGGTTGTGGGCATTAGATTTTGTCAGGCTGCTACCTGCACAAGCCACACACATCCAGTTACGCCTGCCCCCTCTTTCTCTTAACATGGTATTTTCTTAAAAGAATAAATAAAGCCAATCCTGCTTTTTTTAAAAAAAGTGCCAAACCATGATTTTAGGCACTTGTTTCTATGGAAAAGTCAAGTCTCCAAGCATTTTTGCAAATCAAAACTGCTCAAGCCTGGGCCACAGCAACTGAGGTTGGTTTCTCCCCTTGCCTGCAGCATCGGTGAGTTACTCAGGGAGCAGATCCAAAGCAGAAATGCAGAACCCTAAAAGAAGAAAGCAAAAGCCCCCACGGAGCAAGAAACTGCTTTTTGGGGGGCTATTTCTCAGAGCTGCCCCTAAAGCCAATTAACTCCTTTAAGAGCAGCAAGCTCTCTGCCATGGCATCATGGATTTTGCAGGTCTCACCAGCTCAACCCTGCTCCGATACATCCTGCAATTGCATCTTTGCATCCTGTCACTTGTCACACTGCAGCCCGTGACAAAACCCACGCTGCAGTAACACCCGTGTTCCCAAAACATGCCAAGCCCCCTATGGATGCTGCTAGCAGCCCTGCCAGGCCGAGGACGCGGGTCCCGTCCTCGCCACCCCGTGGAGACCAGGAATTATTCAGCAAAAAAAGCCACGGCCAACGCTGCAAACAGACAGGCAAGAAGGAGTCACGGAAACGAGGAGAAAACCCAGCGGGTTGGCACATCGCAAGGCGAGCGATGCTCCCTGTCCCCAGAAAATGGCACTTTCGTGTTTCCAGGCCCCAAACCGTGCTCTGAAGCAAAGCTTTGGCACCGGGAGCTGCAAGGACAAGGCCTCGGCGTGAGGAAGCTGCGACACGGCCTCCTGCCAGCAGCACGGGAGCAGAGCGGTGCTGCTGGCTGGAAATCCCCCTTGGAACCGAGGGAGCTGCTCCAAAAACCCCCTGCAGCAGCTGGAGCGGGGGCTGCCGCCGCCACCCTCGGCATCGCTTGGCTGCACGGCCCTTCCAGCCCACGCAATCCAGGAATTGCTTCCAGCAAAACCCAGCCCTGGATACCCACACACCTGGAACCCCGCGCTCCAACGGGATGCGGAAACCAGGGGCAGATCCCGTTTGGGGAGCGCGGGGGGGAAATCCCATTGGGAGGAGATGGAGAGGAGATGGATGGGAGGAGATGGAGACCCCCCATCGACACAGCCACGAGCCTGACAAATTCACCCAAAAAACACGGGTCAAACGCAGCGTTTAAATTAATACAGGGCTTTGAACGAACCAGCCAAGCAAATAAAGGAGGGCACGGGGTGGGGAGCGGGGAAGGAGTCCCAAAAGCTGGAGAGGAAGAAGAAATCCCCTCGCCCTCGCCCATCACCACCCCAAATCCCAATCATTATATTAATAAAGATAATAATAAGTACAATAATAACCCCGGGCCGGCCCCGCCTGGTGCCCCCATCCCCGCAGCCCTTCCCTGTCATCCCGCGCTCCCCCG